ACATCATAGCATCAACTAATGACATCATGTCATCGACTAATGAAATCATATGCCTACTAATGACATCATGTCATCAACTAATGACATCTTATCCACACCTAATGACATCATATCATCAACTAATGACATCATATTATCAACTAATGGCATCATATCATCAACAAATGACATCATATTAACAACTAATGACATCATATCAATAACTAATGACATCATATCATCAACTAATGACATCATATTATCAACTAATGGCATCATATCATCAACTAATGACATCATATCATCAACTAATGACATCATATTAACAACTAATGACATCATATCAATAACTAATGACATCATATCATCAACTAATGACATCATATTATCAACTAATAACATCATATCATCAACTAATGACATCATATCATCAACTAATGACATCATATCAGCAACTAATGACATCATATTAACAACTAATGACATCATATTAACAACTAATGGCATCATATCTTCAACTAATGACATCATATCATCAACTAGTGACATCATATCATCAACTAATGTCATCATATCATCAACTGAAAATCTCCATATGTGAGTGAGTTATAAATATTGAGTTTAAGTATTAGGTTAATACTAATACGTGTTAAATTATATTTCTATCTACGGGGAGGGGGGGGGGCTCGAATCACATTTCACACACTCGACTGCACACAAGAAATAATAGTTTCATACACAATACATACATTTTATCATAATATATAATAATACCATATATACCATAATACATACATCTTACAAATACGTAATGCTTCATACATCTTACGAATACGTAATGCCTCACACATAATTGCATGCTCTTACGAATACGCAATGTGCCTACCTTTTCGCCATCTGTTGCGGCCTGGTTCAATACAGATTCCAGCCACACGAACTGATCACCAGGATCTTCCAAATCCTCAGTTACTTTATTGCTTGTATAATAATATACAGTATTGAGTCCAACTATTCGAAGTCCAGCAGTGAATTGTGCTGTATAATATGCAACTGTGCATCACAGAAAAAACCCACAAGTCAGTTGGAGAGCACAATGCGCGACAATTGTGAATATAATCAGGGAACTGGTATCCATTGCTGGTAATTAGCATTTCGACCGGAATTCCACGAAAAAGTGTGAAGATTATTAATTGACATATTATATATGCATATAATTAGTTTCCGTTCGTGTAAATAAACTTTTATCTTGGCTTGCTGTCATGGTCTAGAATTCTGGGCTGATTGAGAGTTTTTTCTCAACTACCTAAAAAATTAGCCAAAATGGGTTCGAATCAGGACTTTCGTTCAAGAAGTCAGTACCTATAATCTCAATGAGTGATTTTGTTGTGATGGTTAAACCATCATATACATATGTAAACGTTTGAAGAATACAATCATCGCCGCGTGTTTATGCACGAGTTTAATTCGCGTTTTTGTCGGATTGTCGTGGTACAAGTCGTTAATCGTACCGCGTATACGCGCTGTTTCAAGTATAGCAGTCATATGTGTGGTGTATAAGTGTGACAGTTATTCTTGGAACAGCACAGCTACTAGTGCGATTGACTACTTCAAAACACTTCGAAATAACTAAATGACATTACAGAGAACAGAATCTTGATTTAGCTAAGGTGCCTTCAATTTTATGGTGAGAATATACTTTCTTTCAAACTGGCTACATTTTGAGTTAGCAAAATTAATTACAGATTAGACAAATTTCCTAAAAAAACATGTTACAGTACACAAAAGCAAATGTGCGAACACACCTTGTATGATAGTATACACCAACCTTTTCGGAATTTCTCGTTGAATGCCGGGTAGTCGCCCAACCAATGCGACCACAAGTCGGCAATTGTGCTATAAACCGGATTCGTCATCGGTGGAAACATATGCTTGGGGTGGTAGTCATGGTTACCGAAAACAGGGAATACAGTCGTACCGGGGAATGTTTCGCTCAGTAGTGTGGTCACGTTCGTTATGATATCTATTACTTTATCTGTGCTGAGATTGTCGTCTGGGACATGTGGGGTGTCATCTCTGTGAAATAAATTTACAGTTTCTTTATTATTAGAATATTGCACAAGACATTTGTAATACCATGGAACTATATTAGTTCCATGGTAATACGCACCTACTATCGAACAAATTCTGATAAATACATATTACATGTGATTATTTTAAACACAGTCTTCTCTACTTCAAAATCAAAAATGGGTCTAATTGTCAAATCTCGTCATTGTACCAACAAACAAATCTGCTTATCATAATCGAATAAGATATTGACCACAATTTGGAAAATTCAAACAGCATATTTGCATATATTCAGATATCCGTCGCGTGGGAGCATTACCCAGTCCAGATAATGAAGTCGGGATTTTCCTCGATAGATCTCATGGCGTATACTGATGAATTGACCAATGCCCACGGTGAATCGCATCGATAATCTCCCCAGTAACCAGGCGTGCCTCCATCTAGGTCACGACAACTGGACGCAGGATAATCACCAGCTGTATAGTTTGGCTCATAGTGGATGTCTGTGACGTGCCAGATACGACCTATAGAAGTGACCACAATGATTAAGAAAGTGACGTCAAATGAGCAATTAATTAAAATGTATAGCACATAGGTATTTATATGATTTCCCAAAGTACTATGTTATTAGTCAGAAACAGCCGTTGTTTTCAAAATTGACTAATCAAACATGTACATGAACATATTCAACAAACACGCACATGTCGACCAATTGTTTCGCTGTTCACGTTTTGAGACTGAAATAAAACTACTACAATGCAGCCGTTGATCCTGCACTCTAAACCGTAATTCTGTATCGGTATCAGATTAAATGCATGCGTTCTCCCTTTTTATTGTAACTCGATACTCGACAATAACGTAATATTTATTCACTTTTTGGTATATGTTCAGAACACCGCGCGGTGTACAACATTTCTCCGAAAGGCCATTTCGGAATCGAAACCGGAAAAGCAATGGCAATTATTTACTTACAATTGCAAATTTACGATTTATTTTTTAACTGCCACAGCACAGAGATCTAGGTTGGTAAATGTTTTTCGAGGGGAGGGGGATCAACCAACCACAATCCATGTGTAACTTAAAAAAAATCTCTTACCTATATTGGACCCATATGATGTTCCCACGAAAAGCAGAACCATGTACTTAATGGAAAGCAGAAGTGAATGCACAGCATCGTGTGGTCTGCAAACTCGAGTAGCGCTTACAAGTTTCACCGTTGCTTCTTGCTCGATCGTCGTTTACCCTGTTCACCGATGTCGGCAAGCGTTGAGTATTCAAACGTATGAAGTGACGGATATTGTAATTAAAAATGCTTGCGGTATA